CCCAGCCCAGGCATGGTGCAGCTACAACTGCTAACAACCTTTAGAAAGTGCCTCTCTTTCAGCCTAGACAGCCACTACTGCTTTATCTTGGAGACTGCAAGAGGTGCAGTCCTTCCTTCAAACAAATTTTACATCTTACTCTAAAAACTGGGCAAAAGCCCCAACAATTGGAAGATTATTTTTTTAACATTGGAAAAGCATTGTTTTGCCTAACATGTCATTTTTTCTATCACTTCTGCATTCTCCATCCCTAAATAATGTTGAGGAAAACACCTAAGAAACAAACTTTCAATTTGAAAGGCTGAAATGTGACAAAGTTTTAAGAAACTGAGTATGGGCAGTATATAATACTTGGGATCACTATTTGTAGGCTACACCACTGTATGGTTCTTAAGCAATATTGTAAAGTGAAATTCCAAGGTAAGATCAGGATGCAAATGTACGAGGTAAGAAGAGCTGATTGACATGGTGCAAAGACATCAGAAGAGAAGGCTATGTAAAGAGAAAGAAATTGATATAATTTATTGCTGACATGGCTTTCTGCTGTCTCTCTGTCTTTCTCTCTTTATATTTGTTCCATTTTGGACTCAGAAATGAATACAAATTACTTTAATAAAATGTCCCAACTGAGATATACAAAACATTTGGAAATTATTTTAAAATATACCATGCAGCTGAAATGTCATGGTTAATTTTAATCTGCGGCATGCGGCTAATATCCTCTGGCTATTTCAGTGGTGCAGAAGATTGTAATTATTCACCTGTTAAAGCAAATGCAGCTTTAACAAGTCTGATCACAGTTGAAAAGGAGGAGTGGGGAGGACAGGTAGACAGATGCTGTCTCAGTATGTCATCTGTGAATGATGCCTTTGTAGCTCTTTGGGAGGTATTATCTAGCTATAAAGAAAAAAGCCTATAACATAAAGTGGACCATTTCCTGTAACAGCAACTTTTTCTAGATTTTCCTTTGACAAAGTTTTCCCAGTGATGGTATTGCAATAGAGGCAGTGCTAGTGTACCTCCTAGTTGGTATAACACATCCTTTGTTATGGAGATGAAAAAAATAAATGAGATTACATAAAAATATTATCAGTGGTGATCAAAATACTCATGGAAGAGTATCCAATATTGTCCTTACAGCAATGGCTGTTTTCTGCTTCCCCTCATCAGCATTTTGGCATTTTTTGTCTTTAATCAAAAATTGATAGGGCCTCATTCCTCAAGCTGTTAATTCACAATTTCTCCCATCCCTTGAGCTTCACTGGCATGACAGAGGAACTTTGCAATTGCAAGTGAGGCTTGTGGATGTCCTCAGGCCAGATGAAGGGATGAGGACCATCGTTGGGTCTTTGCCTGCATATCAAGAGCTGGTCCTCCTCCAAGATAAGCTGGTACACCAGTGTCACTGTAAGAGTGCTCCCAGAAATCCTTCTCTCAGTGACATGTCTCCATCTCCTGTTGATTTTGCCCAGCAGAGAGAGGAGTTCAGGTCACGGAGAGGTGGACTTGGCCTGCATCTCACCAGGTAAGGGCTTCAAAGCATAAGCTGTGTGAGAGGCCCCAAGTGACTAGCACCATGCCCAGGCCACGTGGTGTTTGGATTTTGGCTTCAGCTACTTGGCCACACCACATATAGGAACATTGTGTCATACTAGGAGCTTTTTTCTGCCATGAATTGAGTAAAGTGTACAAAACAACTGAGCTGTCCCCTCATGATAGCTGGGGAATTTCTCGTCTTCTGAGACCTAAGCTCCAGTAAATGCGCTTTTCCAGTTACTCTTGCCCAGTGCTACGTGTTTTATTCTTTGGAATATAATGTTCTATACAATCTCAATTGTAATTTCTGTATTTCATTTTTGTTTTAAGAAGAGCACCTTGATCTTCCTTCAATCCACACTGATCTCAGCTAATGTTGGGTAGTTTAAATCATAAAACCTTTCTCACGGGAGGCTGTGCCCATGTAGCAGTAAAGAGAACTTGGCTCATCAAAATCATGTCACTCGCACATGGAAGGTAAAAAGCACTTTGAAGTGGTAATGAAGTAAGTTCCTGCTGCTTAACAGAAAGTTTTGATAAGATCATATTCGTTGGAAGAGTACTTATCAGAAAAGCTGTAATGCATTTTTGAGGAACAAAGATCCCAATGGAAAGCAGTTAGATGGGAAGATCTAGCTGTTCATCTTCTTAACAAAATGCGTCCTCCTTCCTTTGTGCATTTCCTTTGAAGAGGCAAGTGTGGTGGTCCTGGGCCAACTCCCATCTACATGGTGACTGTGTTTACTGATGGCTTCAGAGCCAACGACAGATTATAATGTTGTGTTTTTCAGTTTAAGCACAGTGAACCCCTTCAGACCTTTCAGTCTTTCCTCCTCTGGGAAAAAAATTTGCCAGATGAGTGGAGAGCTCTCACTTGTCCTTCGCAAGGCTGTGATCGCAATGTCATACTCCTTCCATTCTCCACATTGTGCTGAAAACGTCCATGTTCCCAAATTCTTGTTCTTTTTTTTCTGTATCATCTTGTGTGTTTTTAATCTGAGATATCCTTTGTACTTTCTCTGGGCTCAGTTGAAATATTTTACGGTGGAATTTTTTGAAAAATGCAGGATAGATGTCTATCTTATACCTCACCTTGCTTTGGCCCCGAATATTACTTTATCTGACCTCTATTTTTCAATTTGTCCAGCTTAGTAAACCCTTCTGGCAGAGTGCTGAAAGCCATCAGACATTTCAGAGGCAGGGCAGCACCTCAGCCCCTCAACCTCTTCAAGTCATGCAATCTCTTAGGTAGGGAAAATGGCGAAAGAAACAACAGATGGTAGCTTTCCAGACAACTGAGCCATTTGTGAAAAAATCAGATTTTAAAGAGTCTGAAGCAATTGGAATGCTTTGGGACAACCAAGAACAAGCATGGGCAATATGAACAGTGTATTATTAAAAACAGGAGGCAAGGAAGTGAATTTTAGATTTTTACATACTGATTCTGTATGAAGGCTTGAAAGAAACACACCATGGAGATGGTGAAATAGCCACTTCAAAGAGAGGGGACAAAATGCCAGGACCTCTCTGATGTTTCCCAGTACACCGTGGCCTGTAAAATCCTAGTTTCAGTAACCATATATTGGCTGGTGTGCTACATACATAGGTGCAGAAAAGCCCTTCGTGATTTCTGAAAAGATTAATGTGAACATCAGCCACTCATGAAAAGCTGACAATCCAGACACAGCTCTCAGAGGTTTTAAGAAAGGACGTGATAGTACGAGATTGTCTAAGGGGCCTAACGGGAGTCATTGGCTTCCCTGAACAGGAACATATTTAGTGGCTTAGAGGGATGTGCTTTTAAGCAACAGGGCTTGAGCTGTGGCCTCAAACACCAGTGACCATGGTGCCATGGCATGGACAGGAGAACAGCGTTGTCCCTCCAAGTGCTTCCCTCCTCCCGCAGCCACAGCAGGTTGCTCACACCTCTTCCCAAGGGCCCTTTCCTGGCCCATCCAAATCCCTGATGGACTGCAGCAGTTGAGCTTGCTGGCGGAAGAAGTGGGGTAGCGGCCACTGTTCTCCTCCTTTGGTTTCCACAAAGTGAGCATGGCCGGCCTCTTTTCATGCCCATCTGGTGCCAGGTGGAAAGTTGTGTGTCTGGGGAAAACACTCCCTTGGTTCACACGAAGACTTGGATGAAGTTGTGGTGGGATTGTGGGGCTGCGTCAGGCATATTCCCATACGCGAGGAGGAGGAGGGCAATGTCTCGGCTGCTGCACAGGGAGTTTTTCCCCGCAGCAGTCCCGACCGGAGGGAACGGCTTTGTGTCTTCCACCTCCGTATTTAATCACAGTGGGAGTTGAGTGGCGGGGGGAGAGCTCACAAATTACGACAGGCGTTTTTGCTCCCACTTCGTGGGATTGTAGCAGTGCAACAACCGTTAAGAGTTTCCTGCTTGGGTAAATTATATCAGACACCACTTTGCAAAGGGTGCTGTAATGACTTTTTAACAAGAATTTATCCAGGAGCCGTGACACAGAGCGTAAGTAATTGCAATCATACACTATCTGTGTCATTGATGGTTTCTGCTTTTTTGTAGTAACTGCTATAATACCATGTATAATTGGAAAGAAATATAGTATTTTTCTGCTTTCTTAAGAATAAGAATTGATGTTGAAATAGCAAACGGTCCCTAAATCCTGCTGTGTATTCATATAAATCTATGTAGTATGAAATACAATCTTTCTTATCTGATACCATCTAAACTACTGTTGCACCCATGAAACTTCTAGCAATCATCTCTGCTTCTGAGTTACATTTTTGGATATCAGTATAATAATCCACCATGTAAGTTATTCACTATGTTGGGTTCGTAAGAGAAGCAAGACTGACTCTGGACACAAGTATGTCTGGTCTTATTAGTGTATGAGCCCTTATTCTTGAAAGGCTCAAAATAGATTTAAAAAGAAGGAAGATTCCACACTCTTGTAAGTCTCCTTTATCAGTATTTGAGAATTAGAAATGTACGGGCAAGGCAAAGAGGAACTTACCTAGCTTTTGTGGGTCTAGCTTTCCAGTTAAGTTACACTCATGCTATAGCTTCTGGGAACATCTGCGTTTAAATGAATCACAATACAGTAATGCTATCTGCCAATAATACACCTTCTCTTTTTCTAGGGGAAGTGTGTCTGGTGTGTGCCAGTAAAAAGAGGTCACTGAAAAAAAAATAAAATGCTGAGGCAGGATTGAAAGCAGCGTCACTTAACCTAGAATAACTGAATATTGCTAAACTAGGTCTGAGTCAGACCAATCCCTTGCAGCCAAAAAGACCCCAGTAGGTTGAACACTGCTTCTGACCTGTGTCTCAGTTTTTTTATCTACCTAGAGCCTTTATGGGTGAATTTATTTTTAGAGAAAGGTTGGCAGATGAACTGACTCCCACATAACAGAGTGTACCTCTTGTGAAAGCTGACAGTAGAAATGGGTAACAAATACCTGTTGATTTTTTTTTTTCCCCACAGGCATCAGGGTTATGTTTATACCTACAGAGTGTCCAAGACAGAAACTGGGTCCTGGAGTGCTGAGGTGTGTACTTCTCCTTTCTCTTCTGAAAATTTCTACATCCTGTTTGACGTTCATATAGCTTTAATGAAATATATTCAAATTATTCATGTTTCTGCACAGTCTGATTTTCATTGAAGGTAATCGATCTTGAGTGTGCCCATCACTAAGATGTCTTGGTGCCACTTCTGACAGTCTTGAACTCATAAATTAATTCCCTACTACATTTCAGCTGTTGCATAATGCAATAGTGCATTATTTTGCATCATTTTAAGTGGAAAAAATGTTGTCTTTTTGTAATTTGATAAGCACAATCTGTTCCCTTCTATCCCACATACCATTAATGTCAGAAAATTTAAGGAAATTATTTTCAAGCTACAGTGTTTTAAAGTTAATTTCTCTCCAGATTAATACATCATTGGTGCAAAACATATATAGGATAGCCAAAACTTGATACGAAATATATTTTCACCCATCTGATAGAAACTGGTAATTCAAGTGTAGAATAACACCATTTACAATATAGACAACTATTTGGGTTGATGGAATTGGGGTGCTAACCTATATTTCTTTTATGAAGGTCTTGTTCTTTGGATGTACTCTGTGTATTAATTCGTAATTAGCTTTCTGTTTGCACATTAATGAACACTGATTACAAACGTTAAATAATTTCTAGACAGACAGAATTCCTTGGCCTTTATTATAACAGAAGTGGTTGCAATGCTCTGGAAGACAAGACAGATTCCTGGGGTTACTTAGAAGCAGATCGGGGAGTAAAAGTGACTCTCATTACTGCAGAGTAAATAATTATCTGTGTCACCCTTGGGAATGGTACCCAGGAAGAATGCTCTTTTTCATTCCTGTAGGGCATTGGGAGCACCCTGTAGACTTGCACTGCCCAAGCACAAAGGTTTTGGGACAAGGTAGGAGTGGTAGGGTGGTGGTGCAACTGACGTGCCAGGGTGAGCTCTGGTGTGTCAGGAAGGATGCCGGGACCCCCAGGGACCTCCGCTTGTGGAGGATAATTCCCTGAGCGAGGCTGCAGCCTGCTTTGGCCTCAGGTAACATCGGCATCCACAGTGCAGTTTTTCTGGTGTTATATAGGCCTGCTACAACTTCTTACCCATGACTTCCACTGGCTTCCTAAGTATGGGTTTTGGGCTTTCTCGTGCTGTGTTTTAGGCAAATCTTACCTGTGTTTCACAGTGTAGGTGTCCTGGAGGCCCAGGACTTTCCATAAAGGTGCTAGCTACAGCCCCATGACACCAACCCTTCCTTTAAGCAAACAGAAACCTTTAAGTAAATTTTGCTAAGACCACGCTGGCCTCAGCTGTTAGAAACAGCAGCCTAAATCCAACTTATCCCATGCAATGTGCCTCCAAGGCCAAAACAGGCTCCAGCTGCAGCTGGTGCTTTCCTGTCTCTGCTTCCTTCCCTGTGGCTGGTTGGTCTCCGAGCAAGCTCAGGTCACACTCATCTTTCAAGGACGAGGCAGGGAAATTAAAACAGTGTTGGTAAAATCCCAGCTGCTGCGAAGCCTGCAGCTGGTGCCAATGAGGCAGGATTTAGCCCACAACTGCTGGGTGAGAGCAGCGTCCCTTGGGTGGGACTATGTCCACAGGACCTGTGCTTGTCCTCCCATGCCTTTGGTCGGGAGAAGTTATTATGAGAATGCGCTGAAGGATTTAAACAGAAACATTGGATTTTTGATTAAAAGCAGACACAGTGTCATTTCACAGTGTTTGAAAAGATGCTAACGTAGACAGACAGAAAAAATCCCAGTTTTAATAAATACGTCACATTTTGCTGCTGCCTTTGTACAACAGAGAGACAGGAGTACTCAGTGAACACATAAGCCAGGACTGAATGCTCAGAGAAAGGCTTGCAAAGAGGCTGTGTCCATGACTGAATTTAGTGGTGTAAGGACTCCCCCCTCCCCTTTAAATGCCAAGTAGCTCTCTAGATTGTCTTACTGGTATTTCCAGGCTGGAAGTATCTTACCGATGAACCCCAGGCTGGAAGTTAAATCACTGGCTGCAATAAATCAGGGTGAGAAATAGAGGAAGAACACATGGGAATTTGCCTGATAAGCATGGCAGGTTCTGTGTTTCTCCTGTAGTGACTAAGAAACTGTCCCTCTTCCAGCCTGATATCACCATACTCCTGGAAACTGCTCTTAATGCAACGAGGCTGCCATGGCCCGGGGGAAGGAGGAGAGCAGTACGGATCGTTGACTCATTTCAAATTGGCACATCAGGGGGTCCAAGTGAAGCACTGGCTGCTTCCCTGGGGGGTGTGTGCATTTCTGAGGACAAGGCTTCTGTGCCAGCGCCCCAAGCATGGCACAGATGCTTGGCACCCAGCATTTCCTCTCACCTCTCACCCTTTGGCTTCGCAGACAGCACCTGGGGTCCACCGGAGGCTCTTTCGGAAAGTCCACAACCTCATTTCTGCCTTCCAGAAACCCGACCAAGGCATCATAACACCCCTGCAGCACCCAGTCATCAACCATGCGAAAGTCAAATACCCGCCAGGTACTCATGGGGCAGAGGGAGTCTCAGCTGCAGCTGAGCAAAGCCCTACATGGTGGTGGGAATGGAGGTCTCAGACTTATTTGCATCTTTAAGCTGAACTAGCCAGCAGCGTGGCATTGCCAAAAATATGCCCTAGCTTTGCCACTGTGTGATCGAAATGCTAGCACTCAGGTTCTCATTAGGCATAGGGCCTGTCAACAGGATGAGAAAATGGATTTTCAGTATGTATTCCTGAGTGCTATACCGGCAGTGGCTATCTTCCCGCCCCAGCACCCTCACTCTTGTAGGTACGAACCTTCTGATCTGTCCATTTTCTTGCAGTGTTCATCCTCGCATATCTTTGTGATTATTTTTCTTAGGGAGAAGTGACGGTCATGACTTCCACCTGCAGCCATCATGAAGATGTTTCCCCATGGTGTGACATAGCCATATCTTCCAGTGTCTCCTCTAGTCCGTGCTCTAGAACAGAATGTTTTATATGATAGTTAATATAACTCCGTGAGTTTTCTTGTAACATTTGCAGAAATGTGTATTTCATAGACGTTCCAGCTCATAATTTAGAAGCTTTAAGTTTAAGAATGTTTTAAATTAGTTGTAATTTTACATTACTTAACTTTGGACTCTGCTTTGCTTTGCTCTGGTTGGCATTTATGCAGAACTGGGCAAGTCCCCTCTTACAGCCTTAGGAAAATTGCTTACATTAGACTGTCCTTGCCTTGAGTGGGCTGTCTGTCATTCCTAAAGATGTTCCAGAAGTGGCAGCAGGAGGGTCCCCACTAACTGATTTCCCATCACACCAGACACTCTGCCCTGTAACTCAGCAGAACTGACCACCACTGCCTGGATGTACAAAATTTGTAGTTTGCACAAATGATCAAAAGCTTCAGCAATGCACTGAGTAACCTAGAACAACCAGTGAAGTGGAGAACATCGTTCTTTGCTTTTCGATATTCTCTGTACTTGAAACAAAACACCCCTGCATACAATTTTTAAAAATAAATTATTTTTGCGTGACAGTTTCTCTGCTTTTCTTTACCTAGCCGTGTGTGTTTCCATGCCACTGCTGGGCTTCTGGAGGACAGGTTTGAATCTACAGGACTTGTCAGCTGTGCAGGGTTAGCATGTGGCTACTGGAGAACTCGGAGTCCGTGCCTTTTACATGCGGGGTTTAACAAGCATGATGACACTGTCCTGTCTGAACTGGCAGACAGTAGGAAACACTTTTGAACAAACTGGATGTCCTACAGCCCTCTTGTTTCAGAAGACAATACTGTGTCTGCACTGCCATCAAGGAGTTGTAGACGTGGGCTGGGCTCCCTCTGTGTGGATTTCTGCCAGGCAGGCACCTGTGAGCTTTGGGAGGGACCCCAGCCGGGGCTCAGCCTTGTTTGTGTGTGCCCAGTCTGCAAGGGGGATGCATCTGGTCTGGCTGGTAGGTTTGTGCCACCGTTAGTCATGCTTCGACCCACACAAATAGCCTTGACTATCAAAAGAATGTGATTCTCCTGCACTCCCTTCCAAAGCACAAGACTAACAGTGGTTGCAAATGGACTACAAAAATAGATATATTTTAAAAAAAAACCCCAACTCTTAAATATTATACCACCACCTTTGGGTTGCTTTGGTTTCATACCTCTACTTCTGACTTCTACACAACTTGGGAGGCTAGAAACATTTCCTAAGAGAGAAAGAGGCTTTTCCCAGAAGCACAAGGCTACAGGTTCAGGGAAACAAAGCTGACCAAGTACCACCAGACATGGCCAACCATGGCTCAGTGGCACAGCGACAGGCACCGCGGTTGGTAGTGTATTCTGGCAGCAGCTGCCTCCCTGCAATAGCCCCAGTGCCTGTATTTGTATCTGCCTATAGGATGCTTACATGGGGAAGCCTCCTTCACCAATATGTTAAAAAACCCTCCACCTATATCTACTTAATTGTCGGTACCCTGGATCCTGCCTTGTTCTTCATCTCAGTAAAGGCAAGCTGGATGTGAACAGTGACAGAGCTAAGTGGTCTGCAAGTGCAGGATTCAGCAAGGTTAGGATGCTCCAAGCAGCATTTGATAAGGCTGGAAGGTTTACCTTTGTTGTTGTTGTTGTTGGTGGTGGTGTGTGTGTTTTTTTCTCTAAGTGGCTTTGTGTGTGGCTAAGAGAGAGTGCGTCAGTGAGACGGTGCAAACGATAAAACATTTTCTGTGAAGCACAAGTTCCTTGTAAACCAGCAATGGGAATAAATGCAATAAATAAACAGCCCCATTGTAACAGAGAGCGGTGGACAATACTGTTGCAAAGCTGTGACAATTGTAGTTCATTACTCAGTTTCTGTTTAAATGAAGGCCAACTTTCATCTGCAGTGAAATGTCCCACCCCCTGACTAGTCCACATCGTATTTTACACTGTGCGTGCATGTGTTGCTCTGTGCCTCCTTGTTACATGTGCTTGTTGGTTGAAATAAGGATCTTATCTTAATACAGTGTCAGTCAGTGGCAGCTCCAGCATGATTTACTCTTTAATAAAATATTTAAAAGCTGGGTTTTTTTTAAATTGTTACATAATTCAGCAAATGCCAACCCATTGCACCTTTCCCTCCTCCTCTGTGCCTTAAAGGTTTCCCAGCTTGGCGCGCATCTGTGGCGGCTGGTCCCTGGCTGTTCCTCTCCAGCTTTGTGCTCCTGCAAACCTTGTGCTCCTGCAAACCATCCTTCCCCAAAGCCAGCCGAGCTGCTGGATCTGGCAGGGTGCGTGGGTTTCCCCAGACTGCCCCAAGGAGCCCTTTTACTTTCTAAGTGTTGGGTCTAAACTCCTGGGAGCAGGAAAGTGTGTGCTTGGAAATGGTCCCTGGCAGATGGTGGCCCTGTGGTGGGGATAAATGTAGTGGGAAGCACTTTGCCCAAGGGCTGTTTCCTATAGAAATGTCCTATTGACTTCAAGCAAAGGCTGAGGCCATCAGTGCTGCCTGTGCAAATCCTATGGCACAAGAGCAACAGCCACTTGTCCAGTCTGTGGTGCAGCGAGCTGAAGATAACTGGTTTGACTATGGTTGATTCTAGAAGTGCATTCTTCTTCTAAAAAATACATAAAATAGGCCAGAAGATGCCATTTTTGTTTAAAGCTGAGAATGTCATTTCAGTTTCCAATGTAAATTATTAAGATGGAGGCTTGTTTGTATTGTTTCTTTTGGGTCCCCAAGGGTCTGGAATTGCTGTAGGCTTAAACAAGGTGGAAACAGAGAGAGAGAAGCTCATATGGTATCTGTGAGACAAGGAGTTGGTGCTTGGTTACAGGAACAGTAATATGGAAATTATATAGATTTCATGCATTGACTTAGGTGTGAAGAGCTACAGATCCTTTTAGCGAGCAGCAGCCGCATTTTGTGGGCATGACTTCCCAGGTAATGTCTGTATCGCCTGCTTCGTTCCCACCACTGCTGCCGGGCAGCAGCCACACCGGGACGCAGCCCCTCACCGCTGCGGTTGCTCTGCCCTGTCCCTCCCGTCTCCGCTTCCCCCGGGTGACGCAGCCTGGGCTCTGACACCTGAGTTTGCAGCTCACTGCGGGGACTTGGCATCCCCTGCCCTGGCCCTCCCTCCTCTGCCTTCTTCCCGGCAAAGGCAATGCCGCTCCTCTGCAGCGACTAAGCCTGCCACAGCTCTGGTTTTGCCTCCACTAAGCCCTCCCGTACTCCCCGGCTATGGCCGTGACAGATCTCCTGCAGTTCTAAATCAATACCGTCTCTCAGGCTGGTTTTCTTCCCTTTTCTACTAGAGCACCCCTTTGGCCTCGCTTCTTTCTTATCCATCCAACACAGCTCTTCCCGCTGCAGCCCTCACGCTGGGTTATTACCCACCCCAGCTGCTCCAATCTGTTTTTCACCACATAACCCTTCCTTTAGCCTTAAACACTCCTTCCGCCTCTCCGGTTCAATGTCTCCTCTCTGCTGCATGTGCTGGGCTTTTTATTTTTCCTCATGCGCATACTTTTGATACACACAGTCATTCATCATCATCTGTTTGAGCAGCTCTACAGAACGTGCAGGTACTTAAACTCTGCTCCTCGTCCCCTACCACCACCGCCGGCTCCATCCACTCAGTTCTTGGGGGCGCAAAGGCATTTAGCAGATTTTCTTTTTTCTCTCTCACATTTGTTCTCAAGAAATGTAATAACCTGTGCACAGAAACTGGCTGAGATTTCACCTGCACGGAAATCTGCAGAGTTATAGGCATGAACTTTGGTGAATCAGAAGTAAAATGAAATCTTGCTAGTAATCCCGTGCCCCCCAAATTTTGAATCAACCAATACTGCCTGAAGCCCTTATTTAGCTGTACGGAAGCACCTTTTACTGACACGACCAGAATATCCCAAATACATGGTGTAAACAAAGACAACGTCACACGCCCTCAGTTTGCACCTTTATTTTTTAAAAATGAAATAGTCAAAGTACTTTCTTTTTCAAATATCGACACATAATATATTAACTTTCAATATTTACAGCGTGTTGCTGGGATGTTCTTGTAGAAAATGCATGCTTCTGGTCTGAAACCCAGAGCAAAATGCATCAGACCATTTAACTGCAGCCATATAACATAAACCTGTACAGTATCCAGTCACTATTCAGCACAGGAGTTAGAGCAGGAATAAAAAAATTGGGATCTATTGTTTCCTAGCAACGAGGCTGAGGCCGTTATAACACAATTTCTGTAAGATCAGAACCTCTAACTGGTGTTAGACAGAAACTGAAGATCTTGGCATACATTGTAAACATTTTTACTGTTGATGAGAAAGCTAAAAAGGAACGTTACTTCGACATATATCGTATGCTATGCTTCTCTTTCTTGTTTATTGACACTTCTGCCTGAAGAGTATGAGGATTTTAATGTTTTATCATGGTTCATACAAGTAAAATACTGTCAAGGACACGATCTGATATACTAACATTTATTAAAAGGCTAAAGTCCACCACAAGATCTAAGGAAAAACTGGAAATTGTCAAACACGTTTCCTTAGACAAATAATGGCAGGTGACAAATGCCCGGACAAATCCACAGCGAGTCCGACTCCACCATTCCCAGTTTCTGCCGAGAAGCGATTCCTCTGGCAGTCAGGGCGCTTTCGACCTGGTAATGTTTTGTATCAAGGAGAAGTTTAAATAACAGTCAGCATTTGACGGGGAAAACCCTTACGGCTGTTGGCGGCAGTCTG